ATCTCACTGTATTTTCGAGGATTTGCAGGCTCGAAATTCGGATACCGCGATATTTAAAATGCTTTCAAACCCCGCTATTCGGATCCCATGGCATTTGCGAGCGCAGAATTCGGACGCACTGTAATTTGCGAAGGCTTTTTTGCCACAGCCCGGAATGCGGACTTCATGGTATTTGCAAGGTGTTTGCACACGGCATGAGGGAGGTATTTGCAAGTGCGACATTCGCCCGAAACGGGGACCTCCAGAGCCTCTAAAAGCATCCAAACACTGCCCTGCCAAAACTCAGTGCCAGGGAGCCTGGAGCCCCCAAGATGCCAACATGATGCATTCAACCAAAACTGCCGCGAAACGCCTCCAAAGCTCTAACATGCCTTCATGCCTTCAACACGGCTCTCAGCAGAGACCTTGAACCTTCCTCTCATCCCAAGCTCCATAAACCAAAGCAAGTCATCACCACTCAAGAAAGGCCCAGCCGCTGGCAACGTGATCTCCGAAAGAATTTCACCTGATCGAATGCCCTAACCTCATCCTTCTACCTGAAACCGGACATCCGAAAGCATGGGCAGACACGTGACTGAGGGTCTTTCCTTCAGTCCTGGCTATTTGTGTTGCGTGATTCCGCCCCCCTTGCGTCGGGAGCCATACTCCTCTGCTTGCCGACCCACGATACAGGGCCAACGTCCGTATTTGAAGCAGGTCTAAGCTGTTTTAAGACTTTGCCAACAGTGAGAAGGCTGAACTTGAATCTGTTTTTGATGTCCTTTTGGCAACACCATGAAAATAAATGGCCCCAGCTTGTGCACATGCATGGCTTCGAAAGCAAGAACCTCGGCCTTCAAAACAAACTGTTGTCCAGGCCTGATGTTGAAGGTGCACTTGCCACAGAACCAGTCAAGTTGACAGTGGGTATATGCAAAGTAAGTTTGAGAGCACAAACAGTAGCAGCAGACATAACAAAAGCAGCTCGGCAAACTGAAGCAACACGCACGAGAGGGTTGTCAGTCAAATTGCTGCTTCTCAAGTATGGTAAACAAGAAACCTGCCCCTTCCCAATAACTAATACGATATGAACATGCGTGCCCTACAACCTCGTCTTACCAGCCACTTCTGGGGAACCCTGAGCAGTCTGTGCAAGCCTTGCACAAGGATGCCCAAAAGAAAGCCCAGACCAATGTGCCGCGTAGAAGCCTTTCAGCTAAACATGCGCATTTGCCAGGAAGCTACTCAATGTTACAATTTTTGATTCATTGAAACTTGTTGTCGATACCTATCCCAACTGGCGCTTTGCATCATTCTGAACCATCCCATTGATTGCGCAACCACTTCGGTTGTTGCCTGCACCTGAAGCCCTGGAACATTAGGGATTTGGGTTATGTCGACCGTCGAACCCTGTGGTTCCCTGCTACCCAGGGCCTTCGGGCGGAGTGGAGGAAACGAGAACTCGGTGCCAGAAGTCTTCTAGCCAGTCCAAATCCGGATGCTCTTCCTTGGAGAGTTTCAGGCATTGGCATTCAGTTTTAAAGGGGCTAGGTTCGCATAGGTACCTCGCAGTGGGCTGTCAGGGCTTTGAAGGCTTAAGGGGCTTCGGTCTAGGGCTGTAAGCGGCTCAGGGTCAGGGTTCTTGGTGGGGTTTGAGGATTTAGGGGCTAATTTACTTGGCTTCTTGGAGATTTAGGGCTTGTGGGGTTTAGGGTTGCTTGCTTGCTGGCTCGCTGGTCCGAAGATAAAGCAAACAAACTACAAATTTAATGATGATATTTAAAGCACACGAACATAATACCACCACAGGGGGTCATGGCTGAATCAGGTTTCATCACATACGAGCAGGAGGTTCATCGAGCTCAAGGTCACAGTAGCACAGCACCTCTAAAAGCGCTGCTGCAACCTCGCGGAAGACTGTGTAATTCAGCAAAACAGCTTGGCACCATATGGTTCATGCTCAGAATCTCTGCGCTGCCTGCTCAGGGCCTGCTCTGCGGGTTGTTTTGGTGGTTCACAACGCGCAAGAATCGAAGATGTTGCTTTCTGTTCTGTGGGTGCCGTCGGGTTGCAAGCTGAGTGCATGAACCCGCCGCCTTCTAACGCCTTACGGTGCCCACTTTGTCACGCTACACTACATAATTAATGTATTTACAGTGCCATGCCATTCCAGGCCAAGCTCTTCAATAGATGCGGCATTGGACCGACAACGCATCTTTGACTTGACCGAGTTGTGTTGCGGCAAGGCGAAGAGACGTGAGACGCACTGTTCGATTTGTGAGCCTATCGTCCTGCTATGGACCTGATTGGTAGCCAAGCTTCGCAGATCGCTGTAGCCAGGTCATCCAGCGAATGGCTGGTGAAGGACAGCTGCCGGGTGAGCTGTGACACTGGTATGCGGCCTAGAGCTGCTGAACTTCTCCTCCTGCACCAAGTCTGTACATGGCTGTAAACCCCCTCTCCAACCCCCTGAACGTGGAAGCATTTAAGGCATTTAATGGTAAGCAGCGTCAGCTTCATGTGAGGCCCTGGCTTTTTATGAAGCCTGCAAAGGCCTGCCAGCCTACGAAGAAGGGAAGTTTACGAAAGGAGTTCAGGATACGCACGGGGGTCTTGCGCATGAAAGGAGCACCGCCTGGAGACAGATGGTCGGCGAACTGATGGGGATCGATCCGCCCCTTTCTGGCTCTTGGAGCTCTTGAAGCTGTCGCTCTGGCTCTGACATACCTCTCCGTCTGAAGGCGCTCGCGTTGAGGGCGAGCTTGAAATGCTTGAGCTGACATTCGTCGCATCCAAGCTGATTGCCTCGGCTGGATCCGCCACTTCCCACATGTTCTGTGGACCACTGATATACAATAAAGCGGACGCAGCCATCGAGAACAGCCTACAGCTGAAAATGTGTAAGGAACTCCAAGACGTACAGCAGAAAAAAGTCAAGCATATCTCAAGCTAATAAAAGGACAGGAATTATGTTGGACCTTTTTGGCGTTTCGGAACTTGTTTGGTCTGTGGTTTCCTATTAAGGAAAAAAGAGGCTTCTATTAAATACAAAAGGAAATCGAGGTTTTCCTCCGAAAATATTTAGAGGAAATGGAGGTTCTCTTGAAGTGGGATTGCAAGCAAGAGTGACTGTGCTGCGTAAGCTTTATGCCGAGACTTAGTGCAGGCTTGGTTTTAGTCCGACTCGTCCGTGCTTTGCAGTTGGGGGGCTGTTCTGGGAAGTCAAGCTGAATAACGATTTAAACCTCTAAATGCATGTTCGAGCCGAAAACAACATGGAAGATGGCTTTGCGCATGCCTTCCAAAATCATGATGATTCTCGATAGGCTAACAAAACAATAACAAATTCAACAACACTATCTTCTGAAACCCAAATCTATAATTGCTTTGCTCCTACTTAAAACCTCGAGAGTTGGGGACTTTAGGCTTTCACGACTTATACAAGTGGCCGCCGCCATAGTGCAGTAGCACTTGTGGCGGGGTGGGGGGGGCTAGTCGCCAGATGCGAAACTGTCGTCGCTTTGCTTGGACGTCTGTGTTCGCCGAATGCGACACAATCGTCGCTGTTTGGACGTCCATCTTCACCAAATTACGACGCTGTCGTCGCTTTTGGAAGTGCATTTTTGACCAAATGCACAATTGTTGTCGCCTTTGAACTTCTCGTCGTGTCTTTTGGACGTGCTTTTGATCCATTGGAATGCTCTAGCGTGTCCACATGGTCTCTCACTGTTTGGGGTCTATGTTGGCATGGCGCATTCCACAAATAGTGTGCCAGTACTGCGGGTTCCTACGTTCAGAGTGCTTCGGGGTAGGTAAATGAAGCCGCGCGGCAGGTGCGGCCAGTGCCTGCACGCCTTGTCCTCGAAACTCGCTCGCTTCTTGGACTAAGGCGTGGGCGCGCCCGTAGTGGCCACCCTCGAAACTGATATGATTTGTTTTGCTATTCTGTGGTCCTCGAAACTCTCATGATCTCATGATTTTGTTGCTATTCTTTGGAACTTTGTTCGCAAAATGCGAAGCTGTCGTCGTTTCTTGCCGGACGTGTTCGCCAAAGGCGAAGCTGGCGTCACAGTTGGACTTCTGGGCTCACATGATCTCTAACTGAGGGCTGCCCTGGCATCATAGGAAACTAGGGGAACTCTGTGTTGTAATAGGAAACCCTCAACCAACAAAGCGCGCAAATAATTGCGGGATCTCAAAAAGGTGGATTATCGAGCATAACTGCCAGCCACGCAACCTCCGTAGCCACCTTGCTGCACAAGGAAAGGCTGCGTCTGCTCCTGCCCAAGGTGGCCGGAACAGGCACCTCGCGCACCTCGCCGCTACTCGCGCGCGAGTAGCTGATGCCTTGGCAGACTGGCCTGAGGCGTTTGCTGTCCATCGCAAGCGTGCTGCGCAAGCGTGCTAGCTGGCTAGCCTTGAAGCGAAACACTGCAGCAAGCCAAACCTCAGTCAAACCTGTGATGGCTGGAGGCGTTTGCATCGTGCAGGCCTTCAGCTGTTACGACCTGAGATGAAGACTTGCATGTGAACCGAGAAACCGTCTAAATTGTTGGCTACGATACCGGCGGATCTATCGCCCCAATTTCTTGAGGAGGCCGAAAGCTTGAAGCAGATTGCACGTCCTGCCAGGGCTGCCAGATGCCGAACCCCGCAAGACCATGGAGACTGGAACCCTGAACACCGCATGAAGCCAGCTCATGACAACCACTCCGGCCTTAGCCTAGGCTGGCCTGGCATAGCTATATGGTGGTCACAGCTGCATAGCCCTTTCCTGCGTGAAGTGAAACTACCGAAGGTGCTTCTACATATTTCTGTACTTGCCGACCGCTGACAGCTAGCGACATCTCCAAGCATGGTTTGCGAGCAGGTAGCCTAAAAACAACTCTACAAGGATGTCGGCGATGCGGCTACGTGAAGATGTTGGTCAATGTCAACACTTTCTGCCAGGCCCTCATCGGAGAGCATCCAACCCGAACCACCGTGTATTCTTACAAAGGCAGTCTGCCGGGCGCCCCGGCCCTCGTCCCAGCAGCACAGCCTTGCAACCTCGCTGGGACGAATATCTTCGAGCACCCATGACCTGACCCTCTGATATGGTGTTGCCAATCCATCTCTCGCAAAGTGATTGCAGTGCACGTGCAGTCACACTTACAACTTGGAGATGCCTTCTCACCTTCGAAAAAGTGCTCTGAAAAGACTCGGCTGCTCTGAAGGGTCTGTTCTAAGACAGCATACCATGAATACTACAATCCGTTATCCCCTGGCAATGACTTTATCTGTGCATGGTGCTCAGTTACCTGAAGCTGTTTTGACCGTTCTCTGGCGGCGGGCTAAGGGGCTTCACAAAGACTTGGCGTTGAACCCTAGCACTTTCCGTTTTTGACCTGGCACATGCTTGTTCTGCGTGAAACTGCCCTTGGCGATGACATCAAGCCAAGCTTTGAGTGGAAGCGCTGTGGGATACGGTACCTTCGGAAGTGGGTCATAGAAATCTGACTTTCTATCGAACCCTAGAACCTTACATTCAGGAGGCTGCAACTGCAACTTCCGGGCAACAGCTCTTCTGTCTAACCTCAAGGAGCATCACGGGCGCCGCCTCGACAGGTGCAAGCGACAGGCTTGTGATGGCTTAAAACAGATCAAAACGGGGGCTCCCCAAAGCTCAAGAAACAATGACCAACGTGGTATCTCCGTGCAATGAATGGGGAAGAAATGGGGAAGACGTCCCGCAGCAGGCTTCTGGCCGATGGGGGCTGTTGATATTTTGAGACCAAGACTTTGACGAATGAGCGCACACTATTTTAAGAACTTCGCGAGTCACGTGTAGGAGTGTAGAGTGCCAGAATCATACAAAGATGTACCAAGGCCCCAAGCCGAAAACAGCATGCCATGGAGCGGTCCATCCATACGAGTATCTTTTAACAGGTCTCCCAGCGCTAAACTGCCCACTGCTCTTTCGTCCTTCTCCCCCGCAGCGCACCCCACCCCAACCTCAATAGCCCCGCAGAACCGAGGCCTTTGACCCTCCGAGCAAGGAGCACTGAGAGGCCGGGGAGGCCTCGAATCACCTCACATTGAGGTTTGGGGGGTGAGAAAGAACTGTGGCTGGGCGAATGTTCATCATATGCTCTTTTCGTTGATGTGCCCCTTACAAAAAAAAGGATGCGGGTGAACGAATGAGTATGTGAGTGGTTGATGCGGGCAGTTCGTTCATGAGTTGTGCTGCTTCTGGTGCTGGGGATCAGGCTGGTGGTTTGGTTACAATGACAGCAGGAAAAATGGAGCCGGCCTCCACTACGTCGGAGCCCTTGTTGCACCTTCGTCGACCTGCCGTGAAGCTCAGACTGAAACTTTGCACCCCATTCTTTTCTTCATGGGCCCCAGACCCCGCATTGTCCCCATGACCCATGACCCATGTGAACCCCTCGCCAAAGGTTCCCGATGCCCTAAACCCCAAACCCTGAACTCCCCGTGCCTCACAGCTCCAGAGGCGGCAAGCTGCTCAAGGCTTCCACGGCGCCGGGCGGGGCTGCGACTGGCCTGAACCCAAGGGCCACCCTTTCGACGCTCGCAGCGCAACCGTGTGAAATGACCACGTTCAGGGCAACTGATGCCAGCAGCAATTGGCAAGGTGCACTGCAAACCAGAAAAATGTTGTCAAGAAGTGTTTACTTCTACCATCCCCCAAAATCCCCGCCCTAGCCCCAGCCAGAAGGCTTCTTTGAGGCCTCTTGCAAGCCATGATGCCTTGAATTGCAACCCAAGCCCCAGAAATTTGAGCAGGGGCGGTGCCGAGGTTAAGGCGACACAAGGGTTTGGGATGATTCGGTGTTTAAGCGCTTTAGGCTCGAGTTTCCTCGGAACCAGCGGGTTCATTCAGGCTTGTTTTCGGACTTGCAGCAGCTGTGGTAGCGGATGTACTGTAGGGTTTCATTGTTTCGGCGCTTTGAGACTCTTGGGTTTTTTGACAAGCAACCTTCTGTGTCAATGTCGTTTTTCCTTCAATCTCCTGCAAGTACTGGGTTTTCGCATGTTCGTTCATCATGCTCTGGAGATTGCCTCTCCGACCAAGTGAAGCCCAAACCTCAAGAATGGCGGTGGTGGCGGATGCCTCCTAGCTGCCGGTGCGATACTTGTGTTTCTTTTGGTTGCTGACTTCTCCAGTCCACAAAATCCCGGGTCGCTCCTTGGCGACCGAGACGGCTAAACAAAGCGAGCTTCTTGCCTAATTTTTGCAAGGTTTCCCACTCCGTCACGATTCGATTGCGCTTCCCATGCTGCCACTCGCAGGTGTGCTTCGCTCCACCCCTATCGCGGAAAGAGGGGCATTGTTCTGGAAATGGCCCTCGTAGCAGACTTTTCCGCATCGATCGGACAATCGGCCCTCACCATGCCACTTCCCGTTCTCCCACTGGCCTTCATGGCCCGGCCATCTGCATATACGCATGTTCCTCGTCCATGCCAGCTGCCGTTCACAAACTCGCCCTTGTACGTGAGTCCATGGCCATCCGACCATACCCCTTGACCATGCGGCAAGTCATGTAAAAACTCACCTTTATACATGGAACTGTCATTGATAGGGACGGATGTGCCCTCTCCATGCCGGAGGCCATAACGGAACTGACCCTGGTAAGTAGAGTCGGCCGTGCTCAAGGTACCCTCCCCATGGAATCGTCCATCGCGAAGGCCACCTTCGTACTCGGTCTCGCTGTTTAACCGGAGCTGCGAAACGGGCCAGGTTTCGTCATCATCTAGCCCAAGGTCCAACGGGTCCGCTGCCTGCACAGCTGGCTGCAGCACTTCCGCGCTCTCGAAGACTTTGAGCACCAGCCGCAGCCGGTAGAACTCGATGATCTCATGTGCCTTGACCTCGCTAATGGGGGTTGTGAGGTGGCTGTTCCTGCACTCCAGGCTGCCGGTCTTCTTCTTGGCCGCAATCACGTGCATGAGATGTGTGGCCTCGTGCTTCTCATTCGCCCAGGCCACCACGACCCAAGCATCTGTGGGAGCTTTCTCGGCTGACCAGAACTTTTCGGGCCCGTACTGCTCGAATTCCAGAGCGCAGCGAAGAAGGGCTCCCGGAGCCCCCGAGCTCGTGTAGATGGTGTTCATCTTCCTGTTGAAGAGCTTAATCAGGGCGGGAACAAAGATGCCTCGCTTCATGTCCCATCCCGCGCTTGCGAGCAGCTGCACGAAATACTCCGCCTGGCGCTGCACGTTGATGCTGATGCGGTGGTGGACACGGAGGATCCACCATAAGGCCGACATCACTCCGAAAGCTCCACATGTGGGCCAGAACCCCTGATTCAGCGGGGCGTTGATGAGCTCGTGACGCGATAGGCCAAGGTCAAAGCCCGACTTCGAGGTGTCCGAAGAAGAGGCAACACTCGCTACCTTCCCGCAATTCTGATCGAAGGTGGGGCCTTCTTCCTGGCAGTTCACAGAGTGCACCTTCTCCTCTAGTGAATCCTCCTCCACCTCATCGTCCCAACAAGGCACCTCAGAGGCCGCCTCCAGTGGCTCTTCCTGCAGCCGCTGGGTCATGGCATCCTTGTCCAGGCCGGAATGGTTTAGAGCGTGTGCCTCCTCCACCACGCGGAGGGAGCTCTGGGCCGCCGCGCTCTCCTCCTCGGCCACATCCTCCGTCAAGGCTTGGCGACCACTTTGCGCATCGACGGAAGCCAAGATCTGTGCATCCTGCAGAGATCCGATGTGCACACAGCCGGCTGCCGCTGTAACATAGGCCCAGCCCTCGTTGTCCTCGGTGCCGACGTACAGCACCTGGAGTCTCTCTCCCTTCTCCGCGAAGAGGTATCCGAGGTGCGCCACGGGGCTCACCAGTTTGGAGCAGTCAGGGGCCTGTTGCTGCACCTCCGCCGGAAAACGGACTCCGGTAGGCTCAGCGACCTGGAAGAAGGCGCCTTCCTCCAGAGCTGGCATCATGAAAAGCGGCCCCAAGGTCTTGATGGCGCAGGGTTTGCTTTTAGGGCCTAGGTGTGGCAGAGAAGACGATAGATGGGATTTAGGCAAGTTTAGGGTTTGGCATTCCGACTCGATTTAAAGGTTAAGGTCAAAAGCTTCAGGGTGCAGAGTGTGATTTTCTCCCCAATCGGTTCGGGCTTATGTTGAAAAATTTCTGTAAGCCACGGACTGAGGGCGACCAAGCACTGCACCACAAACACCAATGAACCTTAAAACTTCTCAATGCCAAGTTGCCAAGCTCTCTCTCTCTCTCTCTCTCTCTGGCCAAGCCTCAAACCTGCAAGCGAGCTCCCGAAACATTTAACTTTGTTCGACCCGACTGCCCAGCCTCGCAAAGCACCTGCAAGAAAGGGTTTGTTAGGTGCATGAGGCGTTTTTGTTCACGGATGAAGCACCCAGCTCGATTTACATGCCCTCAGAACGCAAGCAGGGCGGCTTCTGACTTCATCCCTTGTATGTCACAGGCACCGCACTCCGGGCAGGGTCTTTCGAGCATGCTCAACCGAAACAGCCGAGCGCATGTCAAGAGCAAACCCTCCAACACTCGCACAAGCCCAGGAGCAGCCCAACATATGCTCCACACAACGTTAGCTGAAGCGGAACCAGACTAGTTCGGATTCAGACGAGCTCAGTCCCACAACTAAGCTCGGAGGATGAGAAAGGACCTTCCCATGTATGTGCAAGGGAAAAGAGTCGAAGGCCGTAAACGATCCTTTCCTAAGTAGCCTCAAAGCCTATTGTTCGACATGCTCTGGTCTGAAGCCTGCCGCTCAAAAGATGCCAAGGCACGCAAACATCGGGGCAAACCTCATTCACCAGGCCGCACTGCGCACCTGAGGTTGGGGCGCAAGCCATAGGGCCACCACAGTCACAGGGCTCTGGGAGCTTCTTCAGAGTCCAGGCCACGGCTCTTGCAGTTTAGGAATTGGGTTGGGGCTGGGGACTTCGGTAGGCTTCGGCCGTGGGGGGGGGCAACGTCTCTCTTCAGGCTGTGCTGTTTACGACGTGGCGATATCCCAAACTACTACACTCAAACTGGAATGCTCGGGCGAGGCGCAACTCCA